ACTACAGCGTGGGCCTGTTTCCTTTCAAGCTGTCCTGGGCAAAGGTTGGGGGAAGGGTAGAAGTACATTTTCTCGTCCTCAAACCCTTCTGTTTGCCCACTTGCAGCAGAGAGGTTGAGGGCAGGGTATACGGCGGGGGGGTGTGTGGGCCCTGGGCATGCGTGAGGCATGAGGGGTGCGCTGGGGGAACAGCCGCCCAAGTGTGGGAGAAACACAATTCTGGGAATTGTCCCTCCAACCCCTCAACCCCTACAAAATCCTAAGTCTCAAGGTTAGAAGACGGTCTCTTCCGGTTTCAGAAACATCTATTCTTGGGCGCCTGGGGGGCTCAGTCAGTTAAGTGTCCGACTTCGGCTCAGGTCATGATCTTACGGTTTGTGGGTTCGAGCCCCGCGTCGGGCTCTGTGCTGACAGCCAGCTCAGAGCCTGGAGCCTGTTTCAGATTCTGTGTCTCCCCCTCTCTCTGACCCTTCCCTGTTCACGCTGTCTCTCTCTCAGAAATAAATTTAAAAAATTAAAAAAAAAAAAAAAAAGAAACATCTATCCTCTCCCCCACACCATTTATTGAGTGTTTAATAAGTATCAGGCAATGTGTTGGACATTTTCATCTACGATTTCACTTAATCTTCCCAGCAACCCCATGGTCAGAAACTAATCTGCCCCCTGGGACGGCCTCTCACTAAGACTAAATCTAACCTTGATCCCTCTGGCTCTATTTCCTCTGGCTCAGTCCTCCTTGGCAGTGGAAGGCAGCTTTGCTTCTGTCTTCAGATAGTCTCACCGTTGCTCAGTCACCCGACATTATCTTCTCCAGGTTGCCAACTTTTACCCCAGCCTTGCCCCATGTGATGGGCATTTAGGGGGGTGAGCAACGGAACCAGGACTGGGGGCTGGGACCCATGACACTGGCCTGTGCCAGACACAGAGCTCAGGCCAAGTGGCAGGGAAGGGGCCCTGGGGGCAGTCCTCATGAAAGTGCTGGGCTGACGGAGGTGGGGACAGAAGTGGGGACAGCAGACTCTCCCTGATGACGCCTATGACCCTCAGTAGGGAGCATGGGGGCTCCACCTTTGGTGTGGTAATTCGGCAGGGCCCGATATGCAATGAGCTAGCTTGCTCTCAGTGACCAGCTATCAGGTCCAAGTTGCACCCACACATACCCAGAGCCCGGGGGCCTGAGCAGAAGTGGGCAGGAATATAGGACGGAATGAGCAGTCCTGGGCTGTGGATGGGAGCTGAAGCCAGAGGAGGAACTCTTACACCTAGTGAAGCGCGTTAGCATCCAGCAGGTGCTCAGGCCCCGAGAATGGAGGAGGGAGACCCCCAAGCCAGCTTCAGTGGGGTTTCACACACCCCATGGTAGCCACAGGCAACTTTGATAAAGTCACACAGCACCCGGCTTCCCTGTTTGGACCCTTTGTAGCAGGAGTGATGAGGGTAGGGATCCCCTCTATTAGGGCTACCCCCCATTCTGCCTCGGGAATGTCTGGAACCGAAGGCCCAGACCCACCTCCCCAGGAAATGCTCAGGCCTCAGCTTCCATCCCCCAGGAGATTCTAGCAGTGAAAGCATGGACCAATGGGCAAGGGAAGTCGGAATGGTGGGTGGGACTCTGGTCCTTGTGGGTGGCACCTTCCCCCTTCAAGCAGGCACCATTAATATATGCAAAGCATATGCAAATCACCCAGAAGAGAGACACAACATCCACGGAATGTCAGAAGAGACCTTGGAGACGATCCAGCCCACGCCCCCTCATTTCACAGGTGAGGAAAGAGGCCCGCACCAGGCAGGGACTTGCTCAAGGTCACTGGGACATTTGGGTGCTGAGGAAGAATGGGAACGGGGTCTCTTTACTCAGAGTCTAGTGCTCTTTCCAGATGGTCTTGTCTTTCATAGGGGAGGTTGACAAGATGGCAAAGGGGGCACAATGGCCTCAATGGGGCTCCAGAAAGGCCTACCAGAGACCAGGGGTGTGGGGCAGGGATAGGGCCAAGGGCTTCTCGGACCCTCCCCTTCCCACCTCTGAGCCTGGAAACGGTGCGGTGGCTGTGTGCAGGGAAGAGTGGACAAGGATGGCAGCAATGTCTGGGGCCGTGTGTGTGGCTAGAGGAGCAGAGGGGCCCAAGGCCAGAGGCGCTGGTTTCCGGCAGTCAAGTAGCAGAAGACGGCAGGAGAACTGGAGTGTCTGAAGCCCAATGTCAGGGCAAGGTGCCCGCTGTGGTGCGGGGAGGGGGATGGCGCCCTCTCTACACACATACGTCTCTAAGTGCTCAGCAACCCCTTCCGCTTGGACTCTGATAACTATGGCACCTGACAGACCGTAATAGTCAACCCAGGCCTGTCCCTCCAGTGGCTGCGGCTGCCCTCCACCCCACCCCCGACTTGGCTTCTCAACCTTCCAGACAGTCCTAGAAAGCAGGACCAATGCTGGGGGGAAGAAGACAGACAGATGGGAGGGGGCAGACAGAGTGAGAAAAGGGGAGACAAGCTGGGGGGAGAGAGAGAGAGAGAGAGAGAGAGAAGTGCAGAGCAGGAGAAACTGAGGGGTAAGGAGAGGGGAGGCCAGGGGAAGGAAGGGGGGCAGACTGAGGGGCAGAGCAGGGGGGAAGAAGTGGGAGCAGTGGAGCAGAGAGGGGGCGGCTCTTGGCCTCTGGGGCTGAAGGACAAAGCTGGAGCCTGGGTATCAGGCACAGGAGCCCCATCGAGGCCGAGGCCCGAGGCTGTCTGGCAGGAGTTGGGGACCAAGCCCCTGCCCCTCTGCCCACCTCCCCAGCAATTCCAGGGGCTGCCAGGAAATCAGTCCCTCCTCCTCTGCCTCCCTCCCTCCCTCCCTCTTTCCCTCGGGGCAGCAGCCAAATCCAAAGCCTTCATCTCTGCTTTTCAGCACTGGGAATGAAAGAAGGGGAAGCGAGTGCAGCCCTCAAACCCGCTGACGGCCAGATTTTTATTATCTTTGCTCGAATGGGCCCTAGGAAGCCAACAAGGGATTCTTCAAAGAGCATCTGAGTGGCTCATTGAAGCCTGCACCTGCACCAGCCCACCCACGGCAGGCAGCCGGGGCTTGGGGGGCACAAGCTGTCCTCCACCTCCCGCCAAGTCCAGAGACCAGATTCGAGGCTGCCAGAAGCCTCACCCCCCAGCTCTCTGTGCCTACGCCGGGGCCACTTGGTCAGGAAGCCAGGCTCAAAGGCCACACCCAGGCCTGCTGGGCCTCTGAGGTAGTCTCTGTCCCTCTCTGAGCCTTGAGGACATAAGCAAAAGAAGAAATTGGATCTCCTTGCCAGGGCTGGAGGAGATAAGTGCTTGGGATTCCTCGAAAGAGAAGCTTTTATGGCAAGTCCTAGGTCTTTCTCCCGAACTCTCTGCCTGCCCAGCACCCACAGGCCCCCTGTTGTCTCCTGACTCCCCTTCCCAGGATGTCACCCAGCCACAGCTGCCCATCCATTCCAGAGCCCCAGGCCCACCACTCAGGATGATCCTGAACCCCAAACACCCCTCCCACTGTTCAAATCCTCAGCCCCAGCTCCCTGCTTTCTCCAAAGACCTGACCTGGGTGGGGGTGGGGCTCAAACAGACCCGGTACTTTCAAGAGCCCAGCCTCCTCCCTCCTAAGCTTGGGTTTTGTCAGAGAAAGCCCAGTTGGCATCGGGCAGACAGCAGCCATGCCACCCCCACCCCGCAGCTCTGACCACACCGTTGAGATCGATGCCCGCAGCCAAAGAAGGAATCAATGGTTCTAATTAAACCCTTTTTCCAGGGTGGGTCCCTGGCCAGAGAGAAAGAGAGAGCATCTGAGGCTCTGCATCCCAGCACCCAGCGCCGCACCTTGTACATCTTTAAGAAACCTGGAGCTCAGCAGGAATCAGGCTGTGAAGACCCCAGAGTCTCCCCACCCGACTCCCCCTCCCCCATTAACAAGGAGGCATGCAGAAGGCCTGGGGTGGGGGCAGGGCTCCTGATGGCTCATTCCCAGGGATCCTTCCCCTAGGAGAGTTCCCCTTTCCCCACTCAGCACTGCCTGAGGACCACAGTTGCTTCTTCCTGAACCCCAGAGCACATGGGGGACCCACGTCTCCATCCCAGCCCTGAGGGTCATCACAGAGAATCAGCCATCATGGTAAGGGCGGAAGGAACGGGGCGGGGGTAGGGGGGCACTGGACAAAGACCTTCTTGTCCCCAAGGCATAGTGGCAAGAAGCCAGGGCAAAGCCTTTGCACTCGCTGCCAATGGTGCCTGGGTGCCAGGCAATCTGGGTGGAGGGGGGGATCTTATTCTTGCAACCCCCTCCCCTTATGTCCAGAGCCCTCACCCCCAAGCCTTGCTTCTACACCAGGCCACCAGCTAAGTCTCTAGCCCAACAACTCAGCTCCCCTGGAGTCCTTCTTCCTGTGTGAATGCCAGGCCCTGACACTTGCTCACAGTGGCCCTAACACCAACCAGAACCAGCAAAACTCCCCACGCATAAACCCAAACGGCCCCCCACATATATACACACGCACAGCCACGCCAGAAAAACCACCACCATGACAGCTGCCACCAATAGTGACAGCCTCACATTTTCATAGTGACAGTCTCCATCAAATGCATCATCAATTCTTCAAAACCAGCAAGAAGGATAGGGAAGGGAAAGAGAGAAACTGAGGCACGAAGTTAGACAGCAAAGCAGTAGGCTCAAGGTCACCCAGACTAAGATATCCAGAGTCAGGAACCAGGTACCCTACCCCGCAAAGTGTTCAAACCTCACACCCAGGAACATTCAGACCCACAAGCCTAAAGTGAGCTATCCCCCACTCCCAATCTTCATCTGCTTCCCCTTCCCCCAAACCAACAGTAGCTCCAACATCTCCTGAAACGCTTCAGTCAGGTGCCTCCCCTCCCCTGGGGAAAAACACTTCCCTTAAAGTTGGGGGCTGCGGGGCCGCCTGCTTCCGTAGTGTTTGGAGAGAGGGAAAACCACCAGCCAGGGATCTCCTCCCTGAACAGTCCCTGTTCCTGCTCACCTGGCTCCCCTCGGCCCCCGGGGTCCCTCGGTCCGGCCTCCTCCCTGGGAGATCGCGCGCTGCCCTCGGCTGTCCTCTCCCACCAGGCCAGGGCAAAGCGCCGGAGGCACTGCCAGGGCTGCATGGGGAGGGGTGGGGCGGGGGGGCTAGCACCAGCAGCCGCACACGCCCCGCCGGGCCCTGCCAGCCGAGCTGCGGAGGCACCCGGCCGGCCCCCTCTGCTTCCACCAGCATCCTGCTGCCCCCACCGACAGGACTCGGAGCTGGCCCGGGAGCTTCTGACGTAGCAGGGGGGTGCGTGGGAGGGGAGGGGGGGGCTATGGCGCGTCCCTCCCCAGCCCCGCCCTCTGCCCCTCAGCCTCCAGTGGTCCCTGCCTCCTCACTCACCCCGGACGCTCTCCCCAGCTGGGGGCGCCCTCCCCTCCCCTCTGGCCTCCGCAGGGGGAGGGCTTAAGACCAAGTAGCCCCTCCCCCAGCCACTCCCTCTTATGGCCCCTCCCTACCCGCCAGCTGAGCGGGGAGCTGGTCCCCAGTTTCTGCAACTGCTGCCTAGGCTCTGAGGTCTCCAGGGCTAGGGCCTCGAGATGAGGGGGGCGGGGGGAATACAGGCTTGTATCCTGGCAACACAGCCAACCCCAGAACGCACTCATCCCCTACCTTCCCTGGGGGGCTGGCGCAAAGCGCCTACCACCACCGTCCAAGTGTGTTCACCCCATTCTGGGACCTGGGGGAAAGAGAGGCCTTCGAGGCCCCCCCCCCACCCCCCACTTCTCTGTCCCCTTCGCCTCCCCCTGCATTCTCCTCTTCCTCCACCACGGATGGACCACGCCCCTCCCCCACTCCCCTCCCCATCCATCCCCCTTCCTCTTCTCCCCACCCTTCCTCCCTCCACACGTACCCCTTTAAATTTTCACCCCTCGGGCCCCCTCCCCCGGGCATCACGAGGCCCTCCCCGCTCGGTCTCCAGCCTCGCCAATCCCTGACCCCCTCTGGTCCCAGGACTCCTGTCGCCGGGGTCCGTCTCCCAAGCCCGCACGCCGCGGTCCCCTGCCCCCCAACACCTGCGCCCCGAGCATCCCTCGCCCCACCGGCCGCCGCCTCCCCGGCCCGGCCGCCGCCCCCGCCCCCGGCCGAGGGGAAAACACACAAAGAAAACAGAAATACCTTCCACTTAAGCATGGAGGCACATTAGGGAGGAGAGAGACAGGGACATGCCTTGGGACGGAGCGTTCCCCATCGGGCGGGGGCGCGGGGGGCGGGGGCCCCGGGCCGGCCTGCCTGGCGCTCGCCCTCTCGCCGCCTCGCGGGCTCTTCGCTCGGCCCCAGCCCCGGGGCGCGGTGCCAGGCGGGCGGGCCGGGGGCGCGGGCCCCGCCGGGGTGGACCAGCTGGGAGGGCGCCGGCGGCCGGGCGTGTGGGTGCGCGCGCGCGCGGGCGTGTCACCGAGTGTGCGAGAGCGAGTGTGTGTGTATGTGTGTGTGTATGTGTGGGGGGGCGCGCGCGCGGGCCGGCGCGGGTGTGTCACTGCGGGCGGGAACGCGCGCGGCGCGGGCACCCGCGTGTGGCCGGAACGTACAAAGGGCCGCCCGGGGTGGCCGGGAGCGGAGGAGGGGAGGGGGCGCTGTGCCTCGCGGCCTCCGGCTGCGCGGCGGGATCCCGCGGCGCGCGGCCGGGCCAGGGGTGCGGGGAGCGCTCACGCTCCCCGCCCCACTTCACCTGCTTCTCTCACCCCATGCAATCCTCTCGCCTCGATGGAGACAAACACCGAAGGCTCGGAGGAGAGGGGTGCACCTCGGGGGTGGGGGGGGCCTTCTGGGTCTCCAAGCCCGGGCGCGCCTTGGGTTGGAAAAGCATTTGGGGAGGGACCGAGCAGGGAGGCAAAGGCGGAGAGGCCCGGACTCGGGGGCCACCTTCAGCCAAGGTGACCTCCGAAAGCCACAGCCGCCCGATGCGGGGAGAGTCTGGACCCTCCTTCTCCTCTACCGGGACATCCCCCTCCCCAGCTCCTTAGACGCCGCTCGGCCGCAGGGACCCAGTCCCCCGGCGCCCCCTGCTGGGCTGTCTCCCTGCCCCCAGCTCCGGTTGCGGCCCCTCCTGCAGGCATCTGCTGGAACTGCAGAGGCCCGTGCCAGGAGTGAGGGGAGTCTGCTAGTCTGTCAAGTAGGACCCCAAAGCCGGGCGTTCCAGCCCCTTCTCACACCTCGCTTGGCGATACCGCTGCCACTTCCAAGGCGACATGCAGGGCACCAGCTCTGCCCCACCCCCGCTTTACTCCCACCCCCTCCCCGTCCACCCACGCCTACCTGTTGGCTCCACAGACTTCTCCGGCTCTGACCGGCATTGACCCTGACCCTGACCCTGATCCCTCCTCCTGTCCTGGTTACTTGCTTCCTCTCTCCCTCCTGTTCTCTGTCCTGTCCCTCCTCGCCCAAGCTTCTCTTGGGGAGGGGAAGGTGGACTGAGTCCCCTGCCCCGTTTGTTTATTCCTGGCATTCCCAAAGCCAGTTTAGACAGAACAGAAAAAGGGCACGGTTCACCTCTTCACTATGGGACACCAGGCAGAGTGGAAGGCAGGCGGAGAGGCAGGAGAGAAGACCCCACCCCAAGCGGCCCAAATGACAAACCGGTTTCCCCACTTCCTGGTCTCCCTGGGTGCAACCTTAATCTAGGCTCTCCCATTTTCCTGCCCGCCCCCAGACTTGCCCCTGAGCCAGCTGCAGGCCTGGCTAGGGGCTAGTCTCAGATGCCCCTTCCCGGATTCACCTCCAGTTGCAGTAACTTAGGCGGGAGGGCTGGGGAGGGCTTCCCAGCTCCAGCAGGATAGCTCAGGAGAGCAGCCAAGAGCCGTGCCCCGGACACACCGTCTGGGAACATGACCCCAGCAGTCGGCACCCTGACTTCTCCTGTCCTGGGCCAGCTGCCTCTCCCTCTGCCAACTGGACGGTGCCCATCCTTTGGCCTCTGAGCACACAGTGGGCACTCACCCAGATCCCTGCCTGGCTGTCCGCCCAGGATGGGCACGGGAGGCAGCGGGCCCTGTGCAGGGGAGGGGGCAGTACGAGGAGGGGGGCTTCCCCCCACCTGCTTGGACACCACCTCCCGAGCCTCTCAGAGCCTGTAGGTGGGGGTGGGGGGGGACTCTAGTTTCTGTTCCTCCATTCAGGACTCTGACTCAACTATACAGACTCTGCCCTTCCTCTCCCTGTCAGGTTCTCCCTAAGACAGGGTCTCTTCCCTGCCCCACTTCGTCCCCACCTAAGGAGAAGGGAATCAGCAAGTGCTTTACTCGTATAGTCTCTAATTTAACCCTCTCAACAACCCTGCAGAAGTGGGCATGCTTGGCCCCATTTCAGAGACAAAGAGTTAAGGCTCAGAGAGGAAGGGCCACTTGCCCAATCTAAGAGCAGCAAAGCTGAAATTCAAACCCAGATCTGCCTGACTCCAGAGCTCCCAGCCTCCTTTCTGTCACACCACCACTTCTTAACCCTATAGACTGCCAGGAGCAGGGGCCAGCCTGAGTGGAGGGAAGAGATGGGCTCAGGAATGTGGCATACAGTTATGTCAAGGTGAAAGAACTGGGCATTAGCCCTGGATGATGACTGGAAAAGAGGCTCTGAATCAGCCCCCCAGAGATTGGGAACAGATCTGAAGATGTCAGCAGGACAATGCTTCCATCTTTCCCCACCCTAAGGTGACCTCCTGCGTCATGAGGAGCTCTTTCATAGAGAGAAGCTTAAATCAGATTCAGGCCATGTTTTTTTATTTGTGTAGCTCATTTTTTTTTTTTTTTAATTTTTACTTTTGGAGACACAGAGAGAGCACGCACCTGCATGAGTACGGGAGGGACAGAGAGGGGGGACAGAGGATCCGAAGCAGGTTTTGCGTGGACAGCAGTGAGCCAATGTGGGGCTCAAAGACTCGAAATCATGAACCAAGAGATCATGACCTGAGCCGACTTTGAAGTCTGATGTTCGATCAACTGAGCCACCCAGATGCCGCCCCTGTGTAGTTCACTTTTCAAAATTTTTTAAATGTTTATTTTTTTTTTGAGAGAGAGACACACACACAGAGCGTGAGCTGGGGAGGGGCAGAGAGAGAAAGGGGAAGACACAAAATCGGAAGCAGGCTCCAGGCTCTGAGCTCTCAGCACAGCGTCTGACATGGGGTTCAAACCCATGACCCGTGAGATCATGACCTGAGCTGAAGTCGCACCCCCAACCAACTGAGCCACCCAGGCACTCCTGAAGTTCACTTTTAAGACAAATCCTTGGGGAGCCTGGGTGGCTCAGTCGGTTAAGCATCTGACTTCGGCTCAGGTCATCATCTCACAGTTCGAGGGTTCGAGCCCTGCGTCAGGCTCTGTGCCGACAGCTAGCTCAGAGCCTGGAGCCTGCTTCAGATTCTGTGTCTCCCTCTCTCTCTGACCCTCCCCTGCTCACGCTGTCTCTCTCTCAGAAATAAATAAAAAACATTAAAAAAATTAAAGACAAATCCTTGACATTCCTGATCATCTGCATAGCTTCGAGTCCATTTGACCCCCTTCAACTACTTCATCCGCACCCACCCAACCCAGGGCAGCTGGGTCCCGTGGAGGGGTGAGAAAAGATACAGCTTCTGAACAGAAACAAAGACCCTGAGACCCCACAGTGAGCCAGAGGGCGGATAGCATTGACCCCATGAGATCCTCTGCCCCACCCACAGGGAAGAGAGGTGCCCCCCATCATCTCCAAAGCAGAGTCTCCTGGGGTAGGGAATAGGCTGGAGAAGCCATCACCACTGATCAGGGGCAGAGCAAGGCAGGTATTATTTCTCTAGCCGAGAGACGAGAACTGCTCCTGTAAGCTGGCACGGTGCCTGGGCACAGCCAATGTGCCAGCTGCCTCCACCTGAGATGCCTCAGGTGCCACCCCACCCCCACTCTCATTCCTCAACAGGGCACTTCCCTCTGGCCCTCCTCCCCTGCATCTCAGGCATTGCTCTCTGTCGGGAAGGGACAGCTGGCATGTTTGAGGGAGCAAAGGGCATCTTAACCACCCGCCTTGCCCCTCTCACACACTGCACCCAGCCCCCTAGCCTGGTCCTGGGAACCTACGGGAGGGAGGTTATGGGGGAGCAGGCTAGAGGTGAGAATTCTCGGCCTCCCCTTCCCCAAAGCATGATCAGAAGAGGCAGTGCACCTGGACACACATCTGGGCCGAAAGAAGGAGACGGGACCAGGGGTGGGCAGGGAGGGGCACGTGGGCCCCTAGGGAAAGGCTCAGGGTCAAAGATGCCGTGGAAATCATGGCTGCCATGTTCCAAACTGCTCACCCTGCCGCCGTGGAACCCCCCTCCCCCATCCCAGATCCTAGTGAAAACCCTCTACCAACAGGGCTATTGTCCAGCTAGGGCATTTGAGGAGCCCCCTTTGGACCATCCACATGCCATCAGGCTGGCCTGCGAGCAGTGAGGGAACTGTGATTTGGCCCTCTTCTGGAGAGAGGGCGACCAGGAGCAGTGACCTGGCATCTGGCGCAGAAGCTGTCATGGGTGGGGGAAACGTGAGGAGGAAGAGGGTCTTCCCTCTGCCCCAGGCCTGCACCCTTCCGACCACAGCCTAGCGCCAAGGGCCCCTAAATGTCACCTCTCGCATTCCAGGCCCTCCCATTCCCCCTCCCACCCTATAGGAGAGGAGTGAATAGCAGTTAAGTTTCAAAAGACTGTCCCTCAGTCCCTGTGGTCCCCCCTCTCCTGCTTCTTATTGTAATGAATGCTAATGATTCGCCATAATTGATGCCCTCATTAGCACATCAAACCCACTTTCAGAAGAATGGAGAGGGAATGTGGGAGGGGGGTTCTCTGGAGTCCTGACTACAGCCACCTCCAGCCAAAGATTAGAGCCTAGATGTCCATCTGATTGGCAGTTTTCTGAGCACAGGTCTCTGTCTTCCCTGTCAGAGGGCAGACAAGGGTTCTATCTCTGCCATCAGACTGGAGCACTGAGGCTCCCTCATTAACTAGGGTTCCCCCTCAGGGTCGGGCAGTGGTTCTTACACTAAAGTGAGGCTCAGAGTCCCCGGAGGGCTTGTCAGATGGGCTGCTGGGGCCCACCCCTGAAGTTTACGATTCAGTGAATTTGAGGGAGGGCCTGGGAATTTGCATTTCTTTTTTTTTTTTAATGCTTATTTATTTTTGAAGGAGAGAGAGACAGAGCGTGAGGGGTTGGGGGGCAGAGAAGGAGAGGGAGACACAGAATCCAAAGCAAGCTCCAGGCTCGAAGCTGTCAGCACAGAGCCCGATGCGGGGCTCGAACCCAGGAGCCATGGGATCATGACCTCAGCCGAAGTCAGCCACTTAACTGACTGAGCCACCCAGGTGCCCCTGAGAATTTGCATTTCTAACAAATGTCCAAGAGATGTTGGTTTGCCCCCTCCCCATTTGAGAACCATTGGGAGGGGGGAGGGGACTATCTTCTTGTTTTCCAGCTTAGGGCTTTGCCTGCTACTGCGGCTTAACTGGCAGGTCTGTACAGGGCCTGGCACACAGAGGGTGTCCAGAGCTTTGTGGCATGGATGACTGTGCTTCTTCTCTCGAACCACCACCAAGGCCAATTCCTGCCACATAAGCGCACCTAGAGACTCCTTTTTCCCCAGACCTTGACCTCCGATACCAAGGGACAGAGATGACCAGAAGTGAATCTCTTGATCCTCACCTGCATACCACCATGCTCTGTAACACTGATGTCAGTGGGTCCCCAGTCCTGGAGGAGGAAGGAATAAAGATGAAGGAGAGACTTCCCAGCGCTCCATCTCACTTCAGGGAGACTTACCAGAGTCGAAGTGGAGAGAAGCGCTCATAGATACAGTCCATGGGCATGAACAAGCCTGCATCTCCCCACCGCGTTCCTTCCTGCTCAGTCCCCAAGGCATAAGAATTGCAGGGTTAGGGGGCGGGGATAAGATTGGAGCAGGAATGGAAGATGGAAGAGGAGCGTGGACAGAAGTGGGACGAAGAGAAAATGACAGACAAAAACAGAGGAGAACAGGAGAGACGAGGGGAGGTGGAAGAGAGAGAGGCTGAGGGAGGTGAGAAACTCAGAAAAAGTAAAGGGAAGAGAAAAGTAAGATGAAGAGAAGAGACCAGAGCAGGAAGAGGAGGAAGAGGAGGAAGAGAAAGAGGAAGGCAGTCTGTATCTATCCTTGAAAGGACATATTTCGACCCACAGGGCCCAAGTGGACCACAAGCCCAACTCTTGCAGGACTACACCCAGCGTGGCTTTGAGGCTTTAGATTTCACCATCTGACCTACATGCCTTGGTTGAAAGGGAAAGACACCCTCCCACGCCCCCACTCCAGCCAGCAGCCTCCCAGACCTGCCAACCAGCCTTATAAGCCTATGGTGGGCGGTGGGGGACATAAGCTGGGATCACGCTGACCTCGTTTACCCATGCCAGCACCTGGAAACCATCTCCCTGCTTTCCAAGGTTATAGCAATCACCTGTGTCATAATGAAAGTAGGCGGAACCCTCTCACACGTTGCTGGTGGGAATGAAAAATCAACCGGCAACTATGGAAAACAGTTCGGCAGTTCCTCAAAAAGTTAAACACAGCACCACCACACGACCCAACAGCCTCACTGCCCTTCGCCAGATGAATGGCTAAACGATTTGTGATCTATTCATACAACGGAATATTATCCGTCCCTAGAAAGGAATGAGGTGCTGATACCCGCTTCAACGTGGATGAACCCTGAACACGAGCTAAGGGAAAGAAGCCAGACACAAATGGTCACATATTGTATGATTCTGTTTATGTGAAATATACAGGGTAGGCAAGCCCATAGAGATTTGCTGAGGAGGAGGAGGAGGAGGAGGAGGAGGAGGAGGAGGAGGAGGAGGAGGAGGAGTGTATGGAGAGCAATTGCTTAATGAGTATGTTTCCAAACTCAGTGGAGATGATGGTTGTGCAACATGCCGAATGCACTAAATGCTACCAAGTTGTTCACTTTTAACTTTATGTCTATGAATTCCACCTCAAAAAAAAAAAAAAAGTAATAATGGAAGTAGGAGTCTTCCATGGGGTTTGTTCAATCCATCCATCCGTAGGGTCTACCTTTGTTGGAATAGGAGCTTGTATCCACATGAGTCTTGGCCTTTCCTGATGCCCTGGGGCCCCGTGCATCTGCTCTGAAAACTCAGAAGCTGCTCACAGGACCCCAGGATGCTGTTTTCTGGACCCAGACTGAATCCCCGAAGCCTCCTCCTCTGCGTGGCTCCCACCCCAAGAGAGGTTCCCTTTCAGGATCTTGCTTCCCCAGCAGGCAGCATGGTCTCATGGTTGGGTGCTGAGGAGCTAGCTCCCCATCTTCAGCGAACATGCCTTGCACCCCAGCAGCAGACTCACCCCTCCCTGATCCAAACGGGCGCCCTGCTCTCTGGAGCCTCTTCCAGTCTTCTCTCTACTGCTAGGCCCCAGACGGGCTGCTCTGGGTGCTGTGAGTGGGGGTGGAGGGTTCCCAGGATGAATCAGGCACATTTCCTGCCCCACTAGAGCTTTCCGCTCAAAGACCTCCAGTAACAACTCCCTACACAAGGGATTGGGTCCCTTGAGGACCCTTAACCCTTCGAGGTCCTGACAAAAGTTCTGTGGCCTCTCCCTCGATAAATGAACATACACGCCCATCCACCAAAAAAAAAAAAAAAAAAAAAAAAAATCTGTGAGTCTCCCTGATCTCTGCAGCCCCTCCCAAGACCCCTAGGGCAGGGTACTCAAAGTGTGGTCCACAGACCAGTGCGGCCACCGGTTCACAAGTGGAGTGCAGAAATAGAGAATAAGTGTTGAGAAATCTTTACAGGGATTTGACATTGTCACAACATCTTAGCACATGATCATTTTCACTGCATTTATTTATTTTTAATTTATTTTTAATTTTTTAAATGTTTATTTTTGAGAGAGAGAGAGACAGAGTGTGAGCAAGGGAGGAGCAGAGAGAGAGGGCGACACAGAATCTGAAGCAGGCCCCAGGCTCCGAGCTGTCAGTACAGAGCCCGATGTGGGGCTTGAACTCATGAATTTTGAGATCATGACCTAGCCGAAGTCGGTCGCCTAGCTGAGCCACTCAGGCACCTCATTTTTAGTTTTTTTTTTTAATATTTATTTTTGAGAGAAAGAGAGAGACAGAGCCTGAATGGAGGAGGGGCAGAGAGAAGGAGACACAGAATCCGAAGCAGGCTCCAGGCTCTGAGCTAGCTATCAGCAAAGCACCTGATGCGGGACTCGAACCCACAAACCATGAGATGATGACCTGAGCCGAAGTCGGACGCTTAACTAACTGAACCACCCAGGCGCCCATGCTTCCCTATATTTTTTTAAATGTGAGTTCACAGTCTATTGGAAATTGAACAACAATAAAAAGGTCTTTCACCCTCAGAGAGTTTAAGAAACTCCACTGCCCTAAGGATCCATTCGCCTCAGGGGAGAATGCCTGATATACTCAATAAATGTCTTAGCCTGGCATTCAAGGCCCTCCAAGATCTGTCCCCTAAATCTTTCCAGCCTTATCTCTGGCTACCTCCTGCAATACCACGCACACACAGACACACACACACACACACACACACACACACACACACGTGCTTGTGTGTGTGCGTTCGTGCTCTGTATCTTCCCTTCACACACCATTCTTTGCCCATCCTGTTCCCCACCACAGGGTGATCTTTCCTTCTTTCCTTCTTCTGCACCTGTTGACACCTGAGTCCCAATTCTAGACCTGGCTCAAATTCCATTTTCTCAGTGTAAATAAAGCCTTCCCCACCCTTGCGATCCTCACGTGCAAACCCATTCTAGTGGCTTTCATAACACCCACTTAGCTTCGCGGGCAGAGCTTGGGTCCTCTCAGTCTCTTCTGTCTCCTCCACCCTCCAGAGGGTCCGCGCTGCGTGGATTCTAGGAATCCTACTATCCCGATCCTCAGGGGCCTCTCCAGTGGCTGCTCCCCCATGTCCACCTCTTCCATGCCGGCCTTCTGAGCTTTGGGCTCCATCCCAAGATAGGGCCCAGGACTCCATACCAGCCCCTGCCCCCCCCCCCCCCCCCACTGGCTTTATCCTCCTTCTCCAGGGGGCTCTGATCATAACAATAACCACCAGGGACCAAAAAATAGTGACATATAAGATTTCCAGGCCTGGAAAAAAGTTAATCTGACTGATGTTTTGAATAGGAAGTCCTATTTGCAAGCGATACAAAATTCAAAAGGTGCTAAAGGGGATAGAGTTGAAAGCTAGGTTCCCCACTGCGGCCTCTGGCGCCAGCTACCCAGGTCCCATACCAGAGGCAAGCAGCACTCCCAGTTTCTTTGGCTTTTCGGGGCTTGCACATGTGCTCCCCAGCATTTCCTCTGTGTTCTCTCACCCACACAGCAGCAGGGGACACACATTCAACAATATAAACTGCACGTTGTTCTATACCAGCTCATATAAAGGTGCTCTATTGGGGCGCCTGGCTGGGTCCATCGATAGAGCATGCTGACTCTTGATCTCCGGGTTGTAAGTTTGAGCCCCATGTTGGGTATAGAGATTACTTTAAAAATGACACCTATAATGAAATAAAATAAAGGTGCCCTGTTGATGGCTATTTAAGCCATGTCTAGTGCAAGAGATAGATCCTGGTAATTACTTCACACAATGGGAGCATATCTGTAGAATAAATTCCTAGAAGCGGAATAACTGGAAAGGATATGTGCATAATAAGTGTTTTAAATACGAGCCATTATTTCTGTTTTTGCTCTGTTTTGTAGATCCATCGCAACCAATCTTTCCCAATTCGGCCACTTATTTCTCTAGTTGTGTGCAAGCTGGGGAAACTGAGGCAGTTTCTCCCCACACACACACACACCCACAGAATCCCAAATTGGGCAAGGCACCTGAAAGGAGAAAGAAATCCAGCCCCATCAGACTTAGGAAATGTCCCAAGGACCCTGCCCACAGCGAGAAACAGAGAGAAGGATGATGTGTCCAACGTGAAAAGCAGGAACGGAAACAAGCATCACTTTTTGTGAAGGAGGGAACCAGCCAGATCCTTCCAGGGGTTCCGTGTCAGCCGGAGAGACCCAGATCAGCTCTGAGTGTGAACTTCCTGCCGGTTTCAAGGGGGGTGAGGAGGGCCTGGCACCAGGCAGGACTGTGGGTGACTCCCTACTCAGAGAGCATTAAACCAGGATTAAGGGTGGTGGCCCGGCTAGGCCTGCTGGGAGGCAGAGGGCTGGAGCAGGTGACCACATAAGCTGCCGTGCAAGGGCACAGCCCACCAAGGTGAGCAGCCCGGAAACTGGGTAAATAAGGCACGGGGTCCAAAACTTTACAGCCATCGGGGCAATTCCGGAATCAAGCCTCCAAGGAGGGCAGAGCAAGGAGCAGATCGTGAGGAACCCATTTTGCAGATGAGAAAACCAAAGCCCAGAGAAGTGAAGACACTTGCCCAAGGCTTCACAAGTGACACAGGACTTGAACCCAAGCCTTCAGCCCCCAAATCCAATGACATGGCCTTTCTGGGGCGGGAGGATTCCCAAGATAGGACCCGGTCTTGGTTCTTTCGCCGACTTCCCCTAGGCCCCTCACACCCCACGCCACCCTCCCCACCAACATCTGAACCCCACAGCTGCCGAGCAGGGCGGGGACTGCTGGGTGAGGCTGCAAATCCCTCTCCTGTCTAACAACTGAGCTGAGAGAGGACGACAGAGGTGGGAAGAGGTCCCAAACTCCCGTCTCACGTGTCCCCGCCCGTCTCAGTCCCAGAGTCTCTCGTGATAGGAAAGTAGGCCAGTTTGGAATATGTCACGGATATTTTCGACATCCCCATCTGTACTAGAGCTTTGCATACAGCCAAGTGGGGTGGAGCCGGAACCTCCGTGCCGGATGAGGGGCACACCTGCTACCTCTGGGGCCCAGAGCCCAGATGGGGGCTGGGAACATTGGCACAGGGGACCCTGAAGGGCACTCACTGAGCACGTGTCCAGAAGCCTGGACAGGGTGGGATATGACACCAGCCGTAGCTGCCCTCTTCCCAGAGGTGCACAGCAGAACAGCTGTGAGCTGTGGACGCTACCCCACTGCCCCGGGAGCGTGTGCCTGGCTAGCCTGGGGGCGGAGCACTGAGGAGGGAGCATTAGTCCAGCAGGGAAAGGAGCCTGGGGAAGCTTTAGAGGGGAGACTGATATTTGAGTTGGGCCTTGAAAAGGGAGCAAAATTTTTGCTGGGGCAGAGGGTGTTCCCAGCCAAGGGGTCTGCTTGGGGCGTGCTGCAGCCACTGTGGCTGGGAGGTGGAGGGCTGACCAGGGGAGGGGCAGCAAGAGAGACTGGGCAGGGCGGGGGGGGGGGGGCAGGGGGCGGTGCCAGCATTGGAGAAGCAGTGTTATGGTGAATGCCCAGCTAGGAAGGTTGGGGGACGCCTGCAGATGCCCATGGAGGCTTTTAACTTCCATGGTTGAGAAAGAACATGTCGCTGTGGGCAGGGACAAATCACCCTGGGAAGGGCAGAGGTGTGGGGGATGAGTGAGAGTTCTCTTTGAACCACCAGCCACCGTGACCAAGATATTCTCCGGTTTGATGGTAGGGACACCTATCCTGGCTGGGGGAGGGGAAACCAACCTGAGAAATGAGTTCCCTGCAGAAGTTACAGATCCGCTTTCTCCCGGAAAGGCTGGCGGAAGAGACACCTGGACGCCGAGTTTACTAATCACCTACTATGGGCACTTTGCAACATGTCCTCATGAACGCTTTCAGCGAGCCCAAGGGGTAGGCGTGCTTTGCACCTTTTTATTAATATGGAAACTGAAGTCTGGGTTTTAGGAGTAAAGAGACAAAGGAAAGCCTAAGTCCCTTCCCTAAGGTCCCACAGTTTGTAAGCGCGATAAGAATCCAGGTCTGTCTGTCCCCAGAGCCCATCCCCTTCGTCTCTCACCACCTCCCAGAAAAAAGCCAAGGGTCCCTCTTAAAGAAATGACTCAGGCTCAAACCTTCACCCCTCCTCTCTCAGTCTCCACCCTGGACCAGGCCCCACTGCAAGCCCATGAGATAGCCACTCTCAGATCAGAAAACGGAGGCTCGGAGAAGTTAAATGATTCTCCAAGGGCACCCCACCCCCTCTCTCTGCCCCTCCTCCCCTTCAAAAATAAATATCGGAAAAAAGAAAGAAAGAAACCAGCTTCTGCTCTCCCAGACTAGAGTTAAGAGGAGAATGGACTATAGGCACAGGGGAAGTGTTCCGTGGTCACATCCACTAAGCCATACCTCCAGGCTGCAGGAGCTTGAGCAAGGCATCGATGCTGTCTGCATCTGGAAGAACATGAAAAACAGAGGGGAGCTGCTTCGCGGAGTAGCCCACCGTGTATTAAGTCACTGCCAACCTCCCAGGTGCATGGCTCTGCTCCAACCCCCATGACACCAGTGAGGCCCCTTCCTCCCCTGCTCATGGGGGCTGGTGACAGATGCACACTTTGCTTCCTGTTCCCTCTCTTCCCAGGACCTACGGCCTCTGCTCCTTGTTCCGTTGCAGACTGCTGGCTGCCTAGCCTCCCGCCCTGGTCCGGCCCTGGATCTGATGCAAGAATCTGGGGGGTGATGAGAGGTTGAGGTTCAGGGTTGAACTTGAGGTTCAAGTTGCTTATGTAGCGCTGAGGAGGAGGGGCCCAGCTCTTCAATTCCTAGAGGATGGACAGATTTGTCTGTCAGGGGTGCGTGGGCTGCTGGCCAAAATGAGGGAGCTCCTCACAGAGGGACAGGAAAATCAGAGTCTAACCCTAAGAATACAAAATAATGATAGCAGGGGTGCCTGAGTGGCTCAGTCGGTTAAGCATCCACCTTCGGCTCAGATCATGATCTCACGGTCGTGGCTTCGAGCCCCGCGTCGGGCTCTGTACTAACAGCTCAGAGCCTGGAGCCTGTTTCAGATTCTGTATCTCCTTCTTTCTCTGACCCTCCCCTGCTCATGCTGTCTCTCTCTCTCTCAGAAATAAATAAGACATTTTTAAAAATTCAAAATAATGATAGTTGGAGCCACTCTTAAGCACTTAGGATATTATTTTATTCAATTTAATCCTCTGTGTGTATAAAATCCCGTTTCATTTTATTTTTTTAAGTTTATTTATTTGTTTTGAGAGAGGGAGAACAGGGAAAGGGCAGAAAGAGAGGGAGAGGGAGGATCTCAAGCAGGCTCTGCTCTGTCAGCACAGAGCCCAACGCGGGGCTCAAACTCATGAGCCGTGATATCAGAACCTGAGATGAAACCAAGAGTCGGATGTTTAACCAACAGAGACACCCAGGCTCAATCTGAAATCCCATTTTAGATTTGATAAAACTGAGGCTCAGAAAAGCAAAATGACTTGCCCAAGGAATCCAAATCCGCCGCTCTTCTCTACCTCCAGGCCCCGGGCCACACTGTGCCCTCCAGTCACGGGGCTGCAAGCCAGGGCTGAACTCCAATCCCCACGTGTAACCAGAGGTAGAGGAGCTAGCCCAAAATCTGGGGGAAAGACTCTTGCACCTCCCCTGGGTCCTTGCTGCTTTTGTGACCCCTTCTTGGGGCAGTACCAAAGGGTCAGGAGATGGAGTCAGGTCCTTCCTAGCTCCCCATTGCTGCTTCCAGAACATCACTCTGTCACTTTCTTTCTTTCTTTTTAATTTTTTAAATGTTTATTTTTGAGAGACAGGGAGACAGAGCACACGTGGGGGAGGGGCAGAGAGAGAGGGAGATACAGAATCAGAACCAGGCTCCAGGCTCTGAGCTGTCAGCACAGAGCCTGCCGCAGGGCTCGAACTCACGGAACTGTGAGATCATGACCTGAGCCGAAGTCGGTCGCTTAACTGACTGAGCCACCCAGGTGCCTCTCTCTTACCCTCTCGCAAAAGCCCCTGCTCCATCCACCTGTGCCACTCTCCCTCATGACTGTTGTCCACTGACCTCCCAGCCCTGCTTCTCATTTCACATCCCAGTTCCTAATGCACCTTGGGTAACTCTAAA